TATACCTAGTTACATTTTATAAAATTATACACGTCTTAAACTTTTATGTTTTAGAAGTTCATGAACATCAACATGTTAAAACAACGAAACATATTTTATGGATATTTTTCTACTGATTTTCAAATTTTGGCGGAGCAATTATACCAAGTTCACTGAGCACTAGATACTAGGTAGTTAAGAACCACTGCTTTCGCATAACGTAGAGGTTTTCAATTCACGACCCACTTTGTCTGTTTTTAAGGCCTACCAACACATTTTAAACATAACAAATATTTTTATCATTTAAACATTTAATACGTGTTATATTTAAGTATATGTAATTAGGTGGCCTTAAGTATATATTGTATTATATGCTCAACGATTTTCAGAAAATAAAATTTAATTAGATTATGATTATTTATTGATGGATACATTCTACTATTATACAGGCAAATCGTACTATTACAGTTGTTAATTAATTAATAATTATAATCACTTCGTGTAAAACTGTAATCGAAAAACCGCAATGCAGTTATTGAATTAAAATAATAAAAAAAAAATTGACTGATAAAAATTAAAATATATATATTAAAAGTAATTCATTAGTAGTAAGTTATCAACACGTTTAGATATTATTATGGAACGATAACACATATCGTAAAKAAATCCAAAATGTACAAAACATTAATTAAAAACGATAGAAAACGAATCAACTATCTACTAAGAAATGGATATTTGGGCGACCTTCGTACCGATCTTCGGGTCAAAATTGTATATTATTATAGCGGATTTTGAATAGTGTTATGACGATCATAAAATTCGGTCACGTACCGGTACCGTCGGRTGGTTGAGAAACACATTCTACTAGGCACGAAAAAAACCTGAATATAATATTTAGGGCGTGTTAAGGAAAGCAGGAAATACTAAGCCATTGGTAATAATTTTACGACGTTTTGTGCGRTCACACAACGAGTGGTCGAAGGTCCCGATCACAGTAMATTATATTATAGCTTAATATCTAGAGAGAGAAAATTTTATCTCCAATAGGCTGAACAATCATCTCTCTCTAGGTGGGTTATCGTCCAGGCCATAGTTCGTGGAATCGGTATGTGTTTGCGAACACAATATATAAGCACTACCACCCTCGTCGATATACGTTTGACCTTTTTATATAATATATTGTATTCAACACAAWKTATACACTATACGTCGTGTCTAACTGATGACCCCCCACCCCACTTAATTTCTTCTGCACTGTCAGAAATGTAACCTACTCCCTACTCTAGTGCAGTTATCGAAAAGTATTTTGTGTTTTATTTTCCATCCGTTGCAGGGCTCAGACTGAGGCGCTCGGTCCATTTTATTTTACGCGTAGCCTTGAAACAGTACACAAGGTCCGTCGTAGAATTATTTTAACAGTATTATATTTTTATAMATAATAACGTTAGTATAATATAAAAGGTCAATCGTGTGTGATAATCGCGTTTATTACACAATAAATTCGCCCTCGCTTAATTAATAATTACTAAGTATATATATCATTAATTGACAAGTAAAAACTAATCATTGTTTTTATATCAACATCAAACAAATAAGGTAAGAGAATTTAATATTATATTGATATAGATAATACTTTAAAATAGTAATAATAATAATAATGTCTGTACGTAATCAAACACGTCATGTGTGTTATTATAATGGCGCCTAAATTCCTGTATGGAATAAATGTCGGCGAAGACGCTCCTCAAGCCTTAAAACATAAAACATTATGTAAAATTGTATGCATGTTTGATTGTTGAATATTTTAGACGCGTATTATTATTATTATTATTATTATTATTATGAATTAATCGTGTAAACATGCTTAAGTTTTTTACCACGTCACAATATTAAATGAACAATTATTATTTATGGACCATGGTCATTAGTGGTTTTTGCTATGAATTAATTTTTACACTATATGACACATTGGATAAAAAGTGAAATTTGATTTTTAATTATATATTATCTGTCATTACAATTATTATTATTATTACCGGTATTATTTCTATTATCTATACATATATATGAATTTCATTCCTTATCTTATAAACAAACGCGAGTAAAATATTTATTCGTCATGATGGTCGATATAATAAACGCGTCGTATTTTTCAAATCAAGTGTATGGCCGAGTTATAATGATGAGTTGATTGCCTACCATATAACCATTATTATAACATAATTATTAAATAAAATTGTGTGCATTTTATTCTATATAAAGTAAAAAATATGAACGGGCGTAATCAACAATATTCAATTCACTAAATTACGCTTTACATTTATTCTATCAATAATACTTTATAATAAGTAAAGAMAATTTCAAATTTTAGACCACCTCATGTTTTTCGTTTAGATTCTCATCTGAACTTAATCGCAGAAAATATGCGTAAGGGACGGCAGTGACGGACAGTTTTTAAGGAGTTTGAATGAGGCAATTTACACGCATAGTTTGTAGACGTGTGAGTAAGGGTCGTTAGGGTGTGTGAGTGTGGACGTGTGTAAAATTGTAAAAGAAATCGCAGGCTTACGCACTCGCATGTACAAGTCGGTTTTGTGAGGACTCTTGTAACGACTCGGACATTTCTTTAGGTTATAATAGATGTACTTTTATTCATTAACACAATAATTGCAAAGTAAAGTGTTATATTCAAAACAGGAAACTTAAATAACTCGATCAGTGAAAATATTCTATGTGTCTAGAAAATATTCGATTTGACTCGTTTATTTTCCAATTCCAAATATTATGCTGCACGAATTATTCCGAGTCCAAATTAATTAATCAGAAAACAAACCAGCACGAAGGGCATATCACGTCTGAATATAGGTCGTTTCGGGGGTCTCTTAAGGCTTAAGGTATAGCGCTACCCCATACTCCTCATAGCCCATGTCATTTCTGTTCCTATACGGATGCTGGTAACCACCAACTACCGACGGAATTGTCGACTACCACGCTCGAGACAAGTGCRCATCCCGTGTAGCTGCATTTCCAATAGTTACATATTAACTACTTTYGAATTATTATATCAAAATAATCATKTTCTGACCATCGTTTTCCAAAACTCTTGTCCATTAAGAGTGTGTATACACATCTATATTAATACCCTTTAAATCCGTTGGCTTACACGCTTATTATAGCTTTTTATAATGTTGTATATATTTCCACGAATCCCTTAATTTTACTACTAATAAGTATTGCCCCATCTTCCTATGCATCCCATAATCTACTATTGTTATTTTATTCAATTAACCGTCCCCTTAGTAATGGTGTTCCGCCCAGGTTGTATTTACACTACGCTAGATCGATCAGTATGAATGACAAGAGATTGGTATGTTTTGACTAAAATAATTGTCCGCCATCGATCCGCATAGGGTAATAAGGTAAAAAGGAAACGTGTGCATTTAAAAAGTCATAAATAAATATAAAAAGATAAGGTAAAAAGGAAACGTGTGCATTTAAAAAGGGGAAAAAAAGTATAATTAATAAATATATATATATAATTATTACTGTGCGTTATAAACACGTTAATATAGTTTTAGCGTTAGGCTTAAATGACACGAATTTTACGAAACATTTGTACTTGTATACATTTTTATATAGAATAAAATTCAATACCTTCATATCAAATTAATATTAAGTATATAGTACTCAGGTACTCTAATATGTAAATTTAGTGATAATTTAGAATATTTAGTGAAATCCGCGGTTGTAGTATTGTTAGATAGTAATGGTACCTACTAATTATATCACTATATATCTATACCATCCCGCTGAAATTCGATCAGAGATTTTTTTTACTATATTATTTAGTTTAAACCTATATTAATGTGTTATTAGAAATATATCAGCAAATATTTTTAATTTTTATATTTAAGGTGGTAACTATTTATTAAGTCTTAAAATGCTAAATGTTATGGTATATTACATTAACTATAGATATTTATTTGTTATTCTGTATTTCTTTTATCATTTGACACTAATACCTATGTGTTTTGAATTTTGACTGTATACTGAAATAATACAAATTTGTATTAAACGTGTATATTTTGATCGTGTTAAACTAATAAATTATTTTTTTTAAATACATAACTAGGGAATGGTCAGTTACAATATTGTTCCCTATTTCGATTTAAGATCGGAATTGGTATTTATATATTTGAAATCGATCTTTTATAATTAATTTTGTTTATTATAATTGAAATATTAGTATTTATTGACGATTCTTCCTGATTATAAAATAGATATTGATGAATTGATTACCTTCACAAAATTGGTATATCGATTCCAAAATAATTATAGGTATTTAAAATTCATTTTATTGGTTCAGACTTCAGATTGTATTCAAATTCAATACACGTTGTGTTGAATTAATAGGTAATTACTTATTATTTATTTAACAATTTACATCCATTTAGTAAGTAATCGAAGTTTAATTGATTAGTTGTTTGTTTTATTTATCGCGATTTCGAATTCTATAGAATCTATTTCATCGGTTCGATTTTAGTTAATTATTACTCACAATAATTGATGGATTTAAAAAATCGAACAGATTATGGATTATATACCATAATATAATGTACCTACTTAATACCTAGTAGTATTATATTATGAATAAATATTATGATATAATGTAATGATTATAAATGTCATCGGAGACAACAAGTAATCAGTTGACCTACTTATTCATAGGAAAAAAAAATGGTTTTATTTAATTTGATTTAAATAACAAAAATGTATAGATAAAAGTATCAATGCAATATTTTTTTTTATTAGACCACAAATATCATCACTGATGATTCATCAGAAATAAATACGAAACCTATGCCGGAGTGAAAACGCTATTTGTAAGCAGAACTTCACTCCTTCAGGACATTATTGAAATTTGAACATAACCTCAAAATACCACTTTTTTACCATCTTCTCTCTTCCCCATTCAGACCACGTCACAAGCACGACCCAGTGTATATTACAGAGTATAGCGATAATTGGTTATCAGTGTTTTAACAATATATTTTCTCGTAAAGTTGTTAAGATTAAAAAATCTGTTAGAATTGTTATCATATTAATTTCTGGCTGCCGTCGACATAACTTTTGTCTTCCATTACAAGTTACAAAGTCGGCGTTGGATATCTGGCTATAATATACTCCATATATTATCTGTGAGTATGCCGTCATACATTGTCAATTTATTAAGYCGTATAAGGATAACATGGAGCGCTTGATTTGTTTTCACATATTCGTATTAATATATCTACATTCTATGTTTTCAATCGCAAATAAGACAAGAAATCGAGTACTCGACGAACATGAATAAATTAAAATAATAATCTATATACAGGTATCGTCGTGGACAGGAATAGATCTTTTATGTAAAAAAGTTGTTGTTTTAAAAAAAACACCAAAAACGTTTTAAATAAAAAAAAGTAGACATGTGAATGTTGCTGTGCTTGTACAGCATATACGTTACAGGTGGTTTATCGTAATAAATGGTATTACATTTTTAAAATTAATTGACCCAACCACCCAACGAATACAATTTTATTGACATTTATAGAATAAAAAACTAAAAAATATGAATACTTCAAATGTCTACAAATAACTCAAAAAGAGTTGAAATGTTTTGAAAATTTTATCAAGCGTAGGAAATGATAAATAAACATATGGTGTAAATTTCAAGTTTCTACAGTTATCCGTTTTTAAATAAAAAAAAATAAGAATATTAGTACAAGAGGATTTGAGTGAACATTCTCAATGTTAATGAAATTTGAAATTCAAATGCTCATAAAAATTTGATTTGATTTTYCAGTAGACACTTTTTATTCAATAAAAGTATATGAAGAATCTTGCATTGAATTTTCAAATCTGGGATTTAAATAGATACAATTCTATGAATTTCTAACTCAAAATAATTTGCACATTTTCGTATTTTTTTTTTTACATATTTTGTCAAAATTTAAATTTTAAATGCTTTTTGTAACTTTGCGATTTGAATACTATATATATATTTCAGATTAGTTTATTTACATTATTCAAATAGTCCTCATTTATTATGTACACTTAACATCAAGTCAAGTAATTTAAAAATTAAATACAAACATAATAATATAATAATAATAATACCTAAAATTATGAATATGAATATGAGTAAATGAAGTTATTATATACAAAGTATCGTAAAGCCAATATACATAGGTATCTAAATACTTATGTAGATAAAATTTAAAATATGTTCTACAAAATAACTTTTTCTTATATTATCTTAAATATCAATGATATACTGGAAATTCGTAGACAAAATAACTTACAAAAATTGTTTTTACTTGCTTTTTTCATTGCAAAATCATCAATAATTTACATTCATTCATGAGTTCTCGAGCGTTCTATATTTAATATTCTAATATTTGATATTCTTTCTTGTCCCATTGAATTTTTTAGGTAGTTTTTTTATTATTTTTAACTTGGAAAATGAACGTTCAGCTGACGCAACAGTGACCGGTAATGATATAAAAATAATACAAGCAGTTAATACATTATCTTTAAAAAGAAAAGCCATATCATTTTCTAAAATATAATTGGCTAAATCTTTTATAGTTTTCATAGTTGACAGTGAATCAATCATAACTTCCTTTAAAGATAACATCTGTCTTGAAAAATCTGAACTTATATCTTTCTCATAGTACATAATAAAGTTAAAAGTAGCCTTGAGAAGGTCATCTTCACTAGACTGTAGAATTACTTGTGGTTGTAAAAAGTTGAATTTATCAACTACTTTCTGTAAACCTAACCTATACAGCGATTATTTAGCTATACTAAAGCTGTATCAATCAACGGCAAATATTCTTTTACTCAGAGGTTTTCTTCAGTCTCCATCTAAATCACCAAAAAATGTTTTGAATATACTTGACGCCCGTTGATCATTGTTCATAGATATTCCCCAACTATTACACAAATGTGTTGTTAAAGTAACCAGTTTTTCATAATTCTCCATCAAATTTTAAATTATCGTAATAGCTAATAGTTAACATTCACAAGCATTATGAAGGTTAGAATCAACTGATTGTAATTTTTTAGATACCACATAAAATTGTCTTAAAATTTGTTCCCATATAGTAAGTATTAGCACAAACTCAAAAGATCCTAACTTCTATTTTARACCTTTAGCTCTATTAATTTCTTCTTTCTTTTCACTTGTTAACATTATATTTAGATTAGGTTAATTTAGGATTTTCAAACATTTTTGTAATGATACTTTAAAGCAAAAACTGTGTTATGTCAAGATTCCCACCTAGTTATACATACATTTTTTTAAGACTATTTTTGCTACATCATCACCTCGATCATCACCTAGCGCATAAGCGTGTCCAGACCTCATTCACAGGTGATGCACTGCACAACAGTGGCATATCTAGGGGTTGGGGAAACTGCCAATCCTCCCCCCTCAAAAAAAAAATAAAAATTTCTGTTTGGGGATATGACCTTGAATTATACACGTCATGATGAAAAACAATGTGCATGACCCGTGGACACGCCTATGACCTAGCGCCAAAGAAGCCCATCTAGGAGCACGTTTACTAAAGAATAAAAATATATCTTGTCTTGAAGAATATAAAAAAAAAATAATAACGTTTTTGATGAACTTTTGGCAACATCGGACAAAACGAGATTAAAATTATGTGCAGCACAATGCACATATGATGCATTTGGAATTATATCAGAAATTCTTTTTTGAACCCCAGTGAAGCTACCACTCATTACTGAAGCGCCATCATATCCTTGATCCCTAAATTTGTTTATATTTAAATTATAATTCTTTAAAATACATATTATTAAATTGACATGATCTTCAGTACCATGCTTACGTAGGGGGTAAAATCCAATAAARGACTCTTTWCAACATAACTTATGTTCTCTATAATCAACTACTACATATCGAATAATAATGCTAACTTGATCAATCTTTGTGGTGTCTTGTGTTGAATCAACTATTATGGAGAAACATGGAGCAGATCTGATTTMTTCACAAATTAAAGTAATTATCAAGTTTATTGATAGTAACTCAATTAGTTCATTTTGAATTTTCCAACTTAGATATTTAATTCGTGTTTATTCAGTGTAAAGAAAGTTATGTAATATTGGATCAAATTCAGCCATGAGTTGTATTGATTGGATAAATTTTCGTTTGTAGAAGTTGATTTTTCTTCATTACCACAAAGGGCTGTATATTATGTAATATATGTAATCACTGAATAAGGTTCATGAAGCTGATGAAAAAAGACATACAAAACATGTATTTTGTACTATTAAAWAAATAAAATAATTTATTAAAACTATTAAGTATCTTATTATAATTTTCAATATCATTATTTTTTATATTTTTTTCACAACAGTAACTTTATTATTATATTG